GGGGTCTCACGAGAGTGGAGTAGAGGGGCAGAATCACCTCCCCTGACCTGCTGGGCACAGTTCTTTTGATGCAGCCCAGGATCCAGTTGGCCTTCTGGGTTGCAATTGCACGTTGTCAGCTGATGCTGAGCTTCTGGTCAATCAGCACCCCCAGGTCCTTCTCCTCAGGGCTGCTCTCCAGCCATTCCCCACCGAGCCTGTATTTGTGCTTGGGATTGCCCTGACCCAGATGTAGGACCTTGCACTCGGCCTTGTTGAACTGCATGAGGTTGGCTTGAGCCCACCTCTCCAGCCTGTCCAGGTCCCTCTGGATGGCATTCCTCTCCTCCAGCATGTCTACCTCGCCAAACAGCTTGGTATCATCGGCAAACTTGCTGAGGGTGCACTCGACCCCACTGTCCATGCCTGCGACAAAAATGTTGAATAGTACAGGTCCCAGTACCGACCCCTGAGGAACACCACTCGTCACTTCTCTCCACTTGGACATTGAGCCGTTGACCGCAACTCCTTGAGTGCGACCGTCCAGCCAGTTCTTTATCCACAAGTGGTCCATTTGTCGAATCCATGTCTCTTCAATTTAGAGACCAGGATATCGTGTGGGATGGTGTCAAATGCTATGCACAAGTCCAGGTAGATGACATCCATTGATCTTCCCTTGTCCACTGCCACTGTAACCCCTTCATAGAAGGCACCAAATTTGTCAAATCTATTTTTTTTTTTCTATTTGAACATAAAGCTCTTTATAAATAAAATTTGGAGGTCCAATCATGCGTTCCACTTGCTCTTTGGATTTGGATTTCAGACCCAGCATTTCAACCAGATGTTTAGTGCTCTGCACTCACCATAAATGACAACTGATTTTTGTTAATCCAATAAGATGAGAAAATTCTTTTAGGCTGGCCAATATCGTATTGTACAATGCATGTCTTATCCACACAGCTAAAGCAGAAAGCAGATTAATCATTTATTTGATTACCAATAGTCAAAACAGTATGAAATAATTTTTTTTCTGAATTTCTTTCCTCAACTTCTGATTTCAAAAATGTTCAAGGCCATAAATAGAGCAATCTCTCCATCCATATTGGTCTCATCTGTCATGCTCACATCTAAGCCTTTTGTTTACCAGAACTGAAAGAGATTTAAGGGCAGTCCCTCTGGGTCCTTAGTTAAACCCTCAGTCATGCAAGCAGCTGCGTGTGTGGAGAAGCCAATGGAGATCTGCAGGTGACCAAAAGGCTGCACTCATCAACCAACTTTCCACATTTTCTAAGCCAGTGTTTCACGGAGCAGTGGACTACAGGAGAAAGGCCATATCATGGGAAGTGTGAGGATAAAGGCGACAAAAGGAGGTAGGCTGCTCCCACCGTAGTACAGTACCTCACCGTCCACGACTTGCGCTATCACAAAAACATGGGAAATAGAGGGAAGCCAGAGGCACCATTATAAACTGCTCCTCAGTATTAACCACACAATTTCATGTATCCCTACTAGGTATTCTGGAAGATGGAAAATCACCTCAGACAGGTGTAACTACAGCATCAGTCACAGCTGGAATGCTGAACACCGAGAAGAGGAACAATGGTGGTTCTCAGTGTGTGAACCCCATGGTCCACGGCACAGGAGCTAGGACGCAGAGACACAATGGTTTCAGAGCAGCAGAGGTAAGAGTATAATTATGGACCCTGACGCTCAGCCAGAGCTTCAACCAGGTCAAACTTATTTTTGTGACAATCTTCCTCACTGCAGTCAGACTACATTTAATGCCTTGGGGGAAGACAAAATGGCTGCACCACAGGCACAGCGTGATTGAGCCTAGCACCTCTGACAACGTCTCACACCTGAATGGCCACAAAATTGATGTCTTATTTGTCAACTGGAGTAACACACACATTTGTTACAGCAAAAAACCCTACGCTTTTTTTTTTTTGTTTCCAACTCAGTCCAGCTGTGGCATGTATTGTGCAAACTGTTCAGATTAATTATCTGAAAGGGAATGTGTTTTTCCTTAATTGCTGCTTTGCTTAAATTATGTGCACTGCAGAAACTCTAGTTCATTTAAGGCTGGACGCAAAGCATGAAAAAGTCAGTGGGAGACTTTTCAGTAACTTCATTAGGCTTTGGATCATATCCTCCTCCCTTCTCCCCCCTCACCGACTGTATACTTTGTTGAAGGATCGCCCGGTGTAACAATAGCGTATGGAAACCCAAGGCTTTGGTGCTACACCAAAGTCCAAACGTCCCCTGTCCTGTCTCTCACTGGTTTCCACCCACTGCCCTGTTTGCATAGCAGCTGCTGAGCTGCTGCAGATTAAAGTCACCAAAAAACCTACAGTTGTTTCACTGCTTCCTCGGTTTCTCAGACAGGAAGACCTCTCAGCACGGCGTGTGGTGGAACTGCTACACCCACCCCATAAGAAGCTGTCCCCTCTTGGGTATCATGTCCTTGAGAGAGGTGAATTTAAACCCAGGGCGACTGACCAAATGAAAAAGGGAATTTGGGCTGAACTTCACCTTGCATTTGCTAACAAACAACACATTGGTACATGTCTGGTTATTTCATACCTTCACTGGTTTATCTTTTGTACTGCTGTGGTACAGAAATATTCCCCGGTGACATGGATCCTGCTGTATCTCTCCACGAGATACTGCAGCTCCAGACATATAGGGACGCATTCTACCGCAGCATGACGTCTAGAGCCATGGGTTTGCTGTAAATGAAAAACATAAACACCTGTCACAGCCACTAGCCCACAGAGAAAAATTAATTGGTCGAGTTGGATATGGTTGAACAGAACTAACATAATTATTAATCCAATTTGAAAAAGACTTGGCCACATTTGAGAATTATAGTGTATACCTGACATATTGTTGGAGGAAATTGTTTATCTAATTTTGTAAAGCAATTCAAAAATTACTTCTGTATTTAGACTTACTAGGAAGTATGGGCAATTTCCCACAACATATGAATAATGTGAGTGTTGACTGTAATGGGACTACTCAGTGAAGTGTGGGTTCCTGACCTGGGGCCCGATGGCTTTGGATGTATCCTCCCACCTTTTTCTAGCTAAGATAGATACATTCAGTAACATATATCTGTACTGTTGCAACCCGGTGCAAAGGAAATTTCTGATTATAAGTAGGGCATTTGCATTGTTCTATGCGTCTAATGCAGGTGTCTAACAAAGGAAGGTAACATGTCTAAACTTCAACTTATAAGTCAAAAAAGGAATGTATTTTCCTACAGTGAAAATGTAGTATCTAAGTTCAGCTCCAGCTCTGGTTTGCTGTTCTGAATCTCTGTTTCTCCACTGACTGTTTAGGGAAGCGTAAGATAAGCAGGTTTCCAATTTGGACACCTAGAGTTTAGGTGCCTATAGCTGAGGATGTGACTCTCCCCCCCGACCCAGCTCAAAATGTGCCCATTTTATTCATCTGGATATTCACGCTGGCTACAGTTTTTCTTTTACCTCTACGTGCTGTAGAATACAACGCAATGCAGCACAGGGTGCTCTCGGGGACTTGGGTTCTGCCGTCGGCCTGTGGGGTAGCAGGGGTAAATTGCTTTACCTCTCTGGTTCTCATTTTCTCAGGCATCACGCTCTAAAGCATCCTACTGCCTTTCTCCTACCGTTGGTTATGTGACAGGGTACAAACTGTGGCTGGTCGAAAGGGAAAGGGTTTGACATGGGCTGTGCTGGGAAATTTTAGTATCCTCTCATGAGGGTCATGTCAAAACAATGACAGTGATGAACGGAGTCCTAATACCAGGGAAGGCAACAGAGTGGTCAAGCACCCCAAAAGCAAAGGTGATATCCAGATTATATCACTGACTGACGATAACCTGGTTTGGTTTTCATAAAATGTGTAGTCTTTGGAGAGCCCTTGTGTGAACAGGAGCAGTGGGGAGTGGATAGCAAAGGAGCAGATGTATTCAGGCTGCAGTACTACACACCGGCAAATAAACACCCATTTTTGCTCTCAAATAAATATGTACCTTCCACTCACATCAGTGGAAGCTTACCAGACATTATTGCGCCTGGCATCATTACCATGTAAATGATGCCTAATTTCCCTGGCATTCTTTCCACTTACAAAGTGTCTCATGAAGCACTGGAAATGCAGTAATCAAACCCACCCGACTCAGCTCTGTGTCTCTATCAGCCAGGTTCTCAGTGTCCTTTGCTAGACCTATCCAGTTTACTGCGCAGTATAGCGCGTTGCTTATGGCAACAAGCAGACAGACTAGGCGATGGAGAAGAATGAATTTAAATGAAGGATGCACTTCCATGCCTCAGACAGACTGACTTTTTTGAATGTTTGGAAATAATCTGCTGAAGCTCTGGAAGGTATATACTGCACTTGGGTCTTGTATGCAGGCAGAACTAAGTGTTGTTTTGAAACTGTATTTTCATTTAAGAAACATAAAATGAAGTGGAGAAAATTCTGTCTCAGACTAGTCGCACTCAACTCCCAGTGACATCCAAAGAAACCTCTAATTTCCACTTCTGGACTGAAAACTGATTTATTTGCTCTGCTTTTAGAACACACGCGTGCAGAGATGCTAATGATAGCCAAGAGGGTTGATCCAAAGCCTACTGGTGTCCACAGCCTTTATAGCAGTTATAAAAGCTTGTGTCCATGCTGAATGAGAAAGTTGCTCCACATCACAGTACTGTGTGAAGAATGCCAGAGTCTTTCTCTTTATTAAGTAGAACTGTTTTCATATATTAGGAGGTAATCGTCAACAACTCTTTGTGCTGTCAGTGTGGAACTCACTGTACTGTTTAAAACTTTTACAGAGTAAATGGGATGCACAGAAAATGTCCACAAAAGAGGTCACCATTAATGTTACAAAAAGCCTCAGACAAAGCGACAGAAGGAAAACAAAGAATTGTGTCAATTAACGAAGCAAAGCGCAAGTGAGGATGGACCTAACAATGCTTCGCTGCACTTTAAATGTCGTCAGTTGCTGAATGTATGAGGATCTGCAGATGTTCCACATTGAATACAGCAGGCAGCTGCTGCTGAGTGCCTTCAGAAACACATCGCATAGAAACCAGCTGCAGACATTGTAGGATGGTCAGATGTCATTTGTCTAAACCAGTGGCACCGCACAGACATATGCCAAAATTCATGCCAGGTGGTTTTTAGTAAGTCCTAAGTTATCTCTTTGTGTATGTCCTGTTCTGCGTTGCTCTTAGGATGAGGCTGGATGATGAGAGGTACAGCTCATCACAATTTAAAAGAGGGAATGAACAAATGAATCTGCATTTTTAGTTGTAAAGGGTTGTGAGTGCGTACATTCAAACCCACGGAGTTCATTTAAAGAGCTCACTTTCATAAAACCCAAACCCAGAGATCTCAGAAAGAGACATCGAAGTGGCCTCCACTAAATCTTTTTTAAACTATAGATATTGGTTATATATAGTTAAGTCATATAGTAACTTTTTTATATATTATTCTTTTAACTACTTAGTTTTAATTTATTTTCTTCATTGACATAATTTAGGTCTTAAAAACAGTCACTTTTATATTGATCAGCCTTACTTGAAGTTTCTAGTCTTAGCTGGCAGGGAGGGTTCTGGCTACTTTAGACATGCCCTTTTAATTATTTTGAGGCCCAGACTGACTTGGAAAAAAGTGATCAGTAACATTACATGAAAATAACCATCATTCTTAAAACTATATTCTAATGACAGCTCTAAAAAATTAACTTTATTTGATCAGATATAGTTGATTTGCTGTGCAGAACTTATTTAATTGCATTGTAAGCATCCTGTATCATAGTACTTCGTGTTTATCGTAAATCTACAGCTAAAAGGAATATAAAGGAATTAATTCAACATATTACTTCTTAATATAGAAGTAATAATACATAGGCTCTGGGAGTTTGTATGTTTATGAAGATAAAAGAGGTAAATTTCTTTGCCTCCTCTGTCAGACCTATATATGTATCCTTAAAGCGCTATTTAAAATAACTATTCAAAAGTTGTTCATAACGAACAGATGGCATTGAGAAGAAAATCCATGTATGAACTGCAAGAAGTCCTTTTTACACATAGGCAAATAAGTATAAATATAATTTTGGGACTGAATCCTAATTTATTCCGTATTAGGATCATTTTAATAACTTGCTGCTAGGTGTGCAAGTACTTAATCCTTTCCTTAGAGTACAACAAGTCTATGCAATAGGGAATTGTTTATTAATTATTCCGACACAAAGGCAAACTAAAATCCAGAGCCAGTGCGAGATTTTTGCATACAATAGCATAGGTATAACAAATATTTATTTTTTAGATGTCCTAAAAAAGGGGCAAAGAACTTGTGCTAAGCTTTCTGCAGGTCAGTGTGTTATCTGGTAAGTGATCTTGTGCTGCACATTTATGTAGGAGAACTAAAAAATATTGAAACTAGTGCTGTACGGGTAAGGCAATGACAGTCTGCGTATGTCCTTCCAACTTGTGGCTTTCTGGCAGCGTTATAGCACAGGAAGGGACTTGACGCACTCTAACAATAAACAGTGGCTGCAGCAGCTCAGCAATATTAATTTAGAAACGGATAGCTATTGTTGGTGGCCGTGTACTGACCTAATGGAAAGCACGCATTCAGGATTCTGCACTGTTTGGGAAGAGCAGAAGATGCACCATTTCAGATCTGTGCCAGACCTGGAACTCACTTCTGTTTCAAAGGATTTACTGGCAGAGAGTGCAGTATAAACACACACGATACAGGAAAGCTACAGAAAGCGATAAACAATACTGGTGTGTGAAAGGAAGGTTCATTGTTTAAGAAGCTGTTCCACGGGTAATTGCCTTGGGTGGATACCACATTAGGGTGGGTAGATACTAAAGCACAGGAGTCCTGGCAGTGAGATTATTTACTGGCTGAGAAATTATGTCGTAGTGATGTGCTGACCAGACGCACCTGAGGGTTCGTGTCACACAACAGAAGCAAGCCTGCAATGTGGCCTACCACGTATGAGAAATAGCCCTAGCTGCATGCCAGCCATCAGCAGGGAGGCAGGTGTTGAGTCTCATATTTGGAGAGTGAGATGTAACAGGATGGTTAGCAGGAGATGGCCTTGGTACATAATTATCTAGGCAATACTGCAGACCTTGCCTGTGTTGACCACATCCCCCATCAGGGTGGCAGCTGTGGAGCGGTGAAGGCCAACTGCCCTGGATGACCCCTCTGTCTGCTCATGGGAACTTTCCTGGGCTTCTTCAAGGTCCCATAAACCTGGTTATGTCCTGAAACGTAATTTTAGGACATTCAGAGACTGGATCCAACTTCTGTGGTACAAACCATGTCCAGTTACAAGCAATTTTATAAACTCTTCTCATGTAACACATTACTGTTCTTATTCATTAGGTGGTAACTGAAAAGAAATTATATTATGTCTTAGGTGGCTGCTTAGTTCTTGATGCGTAAGCTTCCAATGACCTTAATAAAACTAAGAGCATGTTGTGGAGATGTGGATGCTGCCTCTGTACATAGATAGGGTTATTTTTATGCTTTCTTTACTTTCTTTCTACAAGAGACAACCACCAGTAGAAACAACCAATTTGTTTATAAAATAATATACCACTGTGTATAATTAAGGATGACAGAATCTAGTATACACTGCTTAAGACAATTTAAAGTCCTGAAAATAGATTCCTATGCTGGTTAAACATCTGGACATCTTCCCTCCAGACGGCCTTCCTAGGAGTGAAGAGTCTTATTTATGGGACTGTTCTTTGAGTAGTATCTTTCAAATATAAACGGCTCAAATACAGGAAATAAAATAACCATGTTAGAAGACAGACTTGTAGATAAAGGACCTGCGGACATCTCTGTCTTCTTATATGACAGGATTTTCGAAGTGTAATTTTGCCTCACAAGATATTACGCCACTTAATTTGTTCGATGTCCCTCGGCTGCACATGAGGATATCTACAGCGACACTGAAACAACACACTTTCTGCTGGGATGATTTGCCAACATCTGGTGAGTTTTTATGATTTACTGGAGTTCAGAAACAAACAGAAACAAACTTACTTTTTCATGTTTCCCTAATTTCAATACAATGCATAGCTCGGATTTTCCTCTGATGTGTATATACACGTAAAATACATTTTCTTCCACTGAAATGGAATCACTCAAAAGAAAGTGGACATTGGATAAAGGAGAGAATTTACAGTTGCCGATAGACAGCATTAGGCAAATTCATCTTCTCAAAGACTCAGTGCAATTTTATCTTTCAGTATTCCTTCATCTTGTCCCTTACGCTTCCTTAATGTATTTCACCATTTCATCATTATCATAGGACATTGACTGGAAGACACACAATTTACTGTGTGACAGAAAGGATCTTGTACTGAAAAAATAGGAAAGTATACTTATTGTGTAAGCAATATGTGAGTACTGGGTTAAACATGCATTCTTGTTAGCTAAATGACTGAGATCGCATACAAAACAGAAAACAGATATTTTTGATCTTCCCTGTATATTCATATACACGTATATTCATATGTGCACGTCTCTGCCTGTGTACATTGTAATGTCTTTAGTGTGTACTTCTGTTCTGCAGTTCAAGCATGATTTTTTGCAGACCTTTTACTTGTGTTTTTAATTCTGACCCAAGGGTAAAATCTTTTAATGTTTGAACTGAAATCTGGTTTACATGCCTTACGAAAAGAATGAGCTATACAATTTGTGCACAGAAATGGTGTTTGAAAAAGCAGGCTTAGTTTTATTTGGAAATAATGAATAGTCCATCTAAATTCAAACTAGACTAATGGGAGCAGCTTTGTTGTCTCATTTTATCTGCAAATTATTGAAGATTGACCTTGAACTTGAAAATGAAAATAAAGAGATTTTTTCAAGTGTCTGTTTATTACTCCATGCATTTTACATTCCCGTGTTTGTGGTGGATTTATCTTTAAGAGCTAAGACCAAAGACTGTGAAGGCATAATGAATGGTTCCCACCTCTTCTCCTTATGGCATCAGAATATTTCTGTATCTGATGTTCTCAGGCTGTGGCTCATGGACTGTGTGGTCATATCAAAGAAGCCAAAATACATATATTCCTCATAAGAAATAGCTATATTTACCAAAGAGGGCTTATGAAGTCAAAATGAGAGGAATCGTAGCTCTGTAATTATAAATGGAAGAGTTTGTGATTGCTGTCATGGCTAAAGTGGAAGACACTGGGAATCTGAGACATTTTCTCCAGTAAGATGTCATATTACTGTGGGGAGAGAGGAGACCAAGAACTGAGAGTTATAGAGCCAGCTCAGAGTTGCCTCTATAAATAGCAGATTCAGTACACGCTGAGGTAATCCTTCCCCATTATGCTGCCTCAGGAAGGTCCCTGCTGAAGCACTCAGCTATTCCTGGCACCTCACTTTAAAAAAGTTGAGAAGAGACCAGCAAAAGCAATCAGCAGCCCCGGAGCCACAGTCCTCCCGGACAGACCTAGGAAGCCCGCCTGCTCTGTGCGAGAGCACACTGATGGAAGCATGGTTGTGGTCTTCTTTTAACTTGACTGGGAAGAAGACAAGAAGAAATGAACTTAAGGGGATGTCAGAAAGATTAATGCTAGAAAATAAAAAACTCTGAGGATCAATAAGTATTTGACAGATTGTCTAGGAAAGTTTTTTAAGATCACAGTAGACAGAAACCTGTGGTGTGGTGTAGGGACAACTGATTCTTCACTTTATGTGTTGTTTTATCACAACACACAGAAAGCCCAGTTCTACTCAATTTTCTAGAACCTCTTGTTCTCCAAGGAGGTCATCCCTGAGGTAACCTGTGAATAAAAAAGGCATTTGCCATACAGGCCTAGTCTTGTACTACTCAGGGCTCATCTGAATATAATGACTGTGGGGAAAAGGGATGACATGCTTATATCAGGCGTGA